TTTAATAGCTTTGAGTTCCATCAGTGGAGCCCGAACCAGCAGACTCCTTGAAGGAGCCTAGAATTGACAACATGATCCCTAAGGAGCCTAGAATTGACACCACCAAGACCACTTTTCTTCCAATCACTGGTGGTGGCAGCATCAACATTCAATTTAATGAAGCCCAAGGGAGGAGGGGTCCAAGGGACAATAGGTGACTTACAGTAATTGTTAGATGCACAAGAATTCCCTAATGAAGGATCGGAAATTAGAGAATCCTTAGGAATAAAAATCTCCTTATACTTAGCTAAGAACCAAGAAGCAAGCCTGAATCTTGCTAGGAAAAATAATTCTGTCTGATCAAGCTTCCCCCCTTCAAAAACAATATAATTCATGACTTTCCAAACTGTCCACAGAACAGCCACAGGGATGAAATTCCAAATAGCAGAATCTTCCAGAGGTATTTCCAATATATTAATATAAGAAAACTTACTTTAAGAAAGCAAGATTTAGAAGTCAAGATCCCTATAAAATCCAAGTCTAACAAAATGTCATCTTGAGCATAAAACACAAGATAAAGAACAAAATAAAGACAGAGATTAAAAGTGTTCACATACTGGACGCAAAGGAAGTCCCATTGGGTTGAGGGCGCAATTTGTTCGTGGCACAACCCTGTCTCTGGGATGATGATACCTACAAGATGATCCAAATTTACAGTCACCGGTTCTCAAATAGTATTGGCATTCAGGTTCACCGGGTCTCTCTGGAAATGTTCGTTCCTTCTGGTTACTTCTTGAAGGGCCAGTAGATGGCAAGGAAGGATAGGGTCCTGCAAGTGAGGGTGTTGAAGAAGATAGCTGTGTTAGTCCATAGAGAGAAGTTGCTCCAACAGCAGGTTGTGCACCAGGAGAGAGTACCGGGCTTACGGGTGCCTGCAAAAAGTAAGTCAGAAACAGCTTCAGGCATCCCATATACTTCGTTATTATCATAATGCAACAATACTGATTATCCTACCGAGTAATGACTCCAACCCGGAATAGGAACCACTCCAGGGGAAAACAGCACTGGACCATAAGCCCCTTGAACATATGAACCAGGCATTAGTGGAGGCCTTGCCACTCTCACACTGGTTGATGCTCCCCCATATTGTTCAGGCACAGGAACTGAAGGAGACTGCACCGACTGATAAAATTGAGGTGCAGATGCTGGCATTGACGTACCAGCTGGCTGAGGATGATGGAATTTACAAGTAACACCAAATTTGCACTGTCCCATTTTCAAATAGTAGGAGCATTCTTCCTCACCCTGTTAATAAATGCACATTAAAGCTTTTCTTGATGCTTTTAAGAATACTCAAATAGATATATACAAATTGAGAAAGAAAATATAAGAACAGATCAACCAAACCGGTCGTAACGGATATCCATATATATTCAGAGGAACATGGCTAAAGGATCCACCTCCGTGTTTTGGATGGTGAAACTTACAGGATGCACCAAATTTACAAGTCCCAGTTTTTAAATAAAACTGCAAGAACCACATACACACAAGTTAGGTAAATAAAGAAAAATTCTTTGAAGCATTATTTAGCAAAGGGGTTGATTCATTAACAAAAATTTTGCATTTTCCCATAAATGTTTTTTCCTTAACCTGGCATGCAGGTTCCCCTGGCCGTTCAGGGTACTCCCCTGTAGCTCTTACGGCAGCCTCAACCTAAATGGTATGACAACCAAATAAATGTGTAACTAAACTCTGACAAGAGGCTTAAAGCCAAGTACAAGAGGAAAAAAAGTAATCAGCCAAGACATCTGACAGATCATTAAGAACTAGTATAAGAGGGGCTACTCGTATTACCAGTTTTAGAGAAGATGGTGAAGAAACTCACATAGACATAAGTTGCAGGCAATTTGTTTCCGGAGCAGAAGGTGTCAATCATAACTTGTAAATTGAAGTATTTAGTTTCTATTTTGAGAGAAATATCAAATTAGAAATATTATCTCTATCAACGTCCCTATAAGTTATAACTTATAAGCATCAAATTCTTGCATTGTAGCGGCATATAAATGGGGAAAATTGCTTCATTTATCAACTACTATTGTGATAAGTTCCTTATTCCTACTGCATTTTGTACTTACATAGTAAACATGAAATTGTTAAACTAAGTTCACTTAGTTACACCCCATCTGTAGCTGTTAACAGTCAAATGCAACAGCATCAATAAATATTCTTCATTCTATTCCATTAACCAGCATCAGTAAAACAGTTAGTTAAACAAAAGGAAAACCCCAATTATTGAGGCAAATGATAGAAGGATTTACACTAACCGCGGCACGGTTGTGAGGGTGATTGTAACGGCACCTACTACCATACCCGCATAGACCGGTTCGCATGTAGTAAACACAGTCAGGTACCCCGGGCCGTTCCGGGTACGATTCGGTACCCCTCAACGACAATTGCCACATTGATTCTGCATTTACACCAAAGAAATAATAATCAAACGCCTAATTCACTCTCCGCAAGGTAAATCCCCTAAATCCCCAGATAAAAATAAGCTTTAGCGAAGTGATATCGTTACAATGCGGGTAGAAAACCGGGGGGGAAACCATAACGGTAAATACCTTCCAAGCCAGTTCCGGGACCAGCAGGACTCCATTCGGGCCGATGAACCGATTGCGACCCGTTCTGTGTCGGGTTTCGACCGTACAACTCCATCGAAACGGGTCCTATTTTTGTTTGGGGGGTTCTGTTACTTCTGAATACCTAAACGACTACACAAAAAATAAAATAGAAATAGAAATGAAGGTTCTACAGAGAACAATGGAAGGTTCTAGAATGATCGTAGAGAGGTCAATCGAGGTGGAAATAAGTTGAGAAACGATAAGGAGGAAGAAGAGAGATAGAGATTCTTAGTTCTTCTTCCCAGTATTTGAGCTTCTCTCTCTCTCTCTCTACTCTCTTCTCACCCTTTCTATCTAATACCGTACGTCTGGGTTCGGGCCCTTTTTTTAGCTTAGTTTATTTATGGCTTAAATACAAGATAAGTGATCATACTATACCATTTTACACGGATTGATACTTAAATTATAAACGTTATCATTTTAAATATCTTGTAACGTTTGTAATAATAGGGTAATCTTAGAAAAAAAATTTAAACTTCAAAATATTTTATTCTCGAAAAAGTTTCAATTTTTTCTAAAATACTAAAAAAACCCAAACTTTTAAAATCTTATATTCTAGTCTTATTTACTTCAACTGCAGGTAATCTCCAATCATCATTCACCGACGATCGGCCATCCGTATAACGACCTATTGATCGGTCACAACCCTTACTATCATCTCAAAACCTAAAATTTTCAAATTTCTACGTTTTCAATCCATGATCTCTAAAATCCCAAATATTCAATCTCTTAAATTCCTTTGGTCAATCGTGACAATTAGTCATTTAACTGACTGTGGCAGATCGTTTGATTATTTGGTCGGCCATTTGGCATTTAACCGTTTGGTCATGGAAAAACAAGGAGGGAAGCCATGGAAAAAAAAATTAACGCGGGTTTATAATAGTTATTACAGTCGATACATTTAAAATAATAACGTTTATAATGTTACACAAATAATTTAAAAATTAATTTGCACACCAATTCGTGAACATCGTATGATTTGAACACTAGAGAACCCATTTGACTCCTGTTGACCAACGCTCCGACTATTGTTGCAACTGAGTCAAAGCTCCATCCAGCTTTTCCCCTAGCTTCCAATGATTCCTCACATATCTCCATCAACGAATTCATCGTGCTTTCACTCTTCCTGATCCGACACCACGAACACCATCTTCAACACTGTTTTCACTTTGTTTGAATTCTTTATCAGCGCCTGTTTCGCTCTCTCGTTTCACACCATCTTCACGTTTTGCTCCTTTCAATTCTTTCCACTTTACCTATAACAAAAACTAGTTGTTTAGGTGTATCAATATCTAAAAGTACAAGGACATGGCTTTAACCAAATTATCGCAAATTATAAAATGGAATCTCTCTACTACGTACGAGCGTTTCTAAGAAACGATTCCACTGCAAACAAGACCTCACCACTACGCCATCTAATGCTGTATCGTTACCTAGTGCTGGCCCACTTTTGCAGACAAGGAGAGGTACTAGGTCCTGGAATCCAACTACTCGTACTACCTTGTGTAAATAATTCCTTGAACTTAATCAGGATGACTGCATGCATCAGATTAAGAAGAACAAAGGGTGGGAAAATAAAGGGTTATAATTAGAAAGGACGGAGGCAAACAACGGCCATTACTAATCGGAAATAATAAAGCTCCGGATAGAAACGAGCCGTCGCTCGGAGAGTCATGTAGTTTTGTGACTCTTTGTTTGGGGAGTTGTGTTTTCTGTTAACAAAATGCAGTATACGTGGCTTTGAGAGGAAGGGGTGGCTAGCAAGTTATATTCAGGTCTACTAATAGAATGGACAATTGAGGTTTGAGATTGGAGAGAGTTTATGGGATTGAAAGGGAGGAGAGTTTGGCATGCAACGTTGTTTTGACTTTGTCAATGCATGCCTTTGCCTTCTCCATTGATAATTTGGGGTTAAAGATTCAACTTCAATCTTGGACTAGGAGTGAGTCTGTGAGGAGTGAACACAATCAACTTCGCTTCTCCTTGCCGTGAAAGAGACCTCAGATTTTATATAGAATAATTCACCATTTTTCATTTTGACAGGGGAGTTGAAAGAAGCTGTGAAGAAGAAGACGATATTAATGGGTTTTGACCAATTATTTTGACCGTAGGATTGACGTATTATTTTTTAACGATGAGTATTAAAATAAAATAAAAATTAAATTTTATATATAATTTTGAAAAAAAGTAAAAGTTTAGTTACTAAAACGGATTAAAACAGATAGTTTAGGTACTAAATACATTGTTTACCCAAAAATAAAAAGCGGCTGCTGTGTACAACAAAGACCGGGAAGACTCCCTCCTCTCTCTCTCTCTCTCTCTCTCTCTCCTGTGCTATCAAATTCCAGCCAATGAGATCGAACCTGACTAGAACAAAACAAAGAATCCCAAAACAGACACTAAATCAAAAACAAAATTTCCCCATATCCCTTGTGTTCAAATAGCCATCTTTTTTTTCCTTCTGGAAATTAAGCCGTTTTGAAGTTTCCGTTAGGTGTTCGGGCTTCGTGATCGAGTTTTGGTTTTTGGTCGAAATTAGGGTAAACCCGTCTTTCCCTTTGGTGGATTTTAGGGGTTGTGGAAAATGCTTGGGAGAAACCTGTGGGTTTGGAATAAAATAAAATTTCGTTTGAGAACTTGGTAATTTGGGGGTGAGATTTAGCTTTGTATTTGAATTTTGTCGTTGAATGATTTCGTTAGGGAGTAACGATGCGAGGAAGGGGCTAGGCCTAGGGTTGGGTGGAAGAAAAATGGAAGAGGATGACCTTGAGAAAGGAGAGTCTTGCTCCTACAATAACAATAAGGATGATTATGATGCCTCCACTGATCCTGAAGCTGATCTATCTTCTCTCGCTTACATAGTAGGAATTTCTTGCTCTCCCTTTTCTTTATTAACCGTTTAGCTTAGCTTTCCTTTTTCACCAATGTTTAATTATATTGTATTGACTTTTTTGGTTGAGTTTTAGTTTCAAAGTTTAGATTGTTATTGTTTAAGTGCAATGTTGGATATTGGAATTTGGAACTTTAATTTAGATGTGGTTACTGCTAATTTGTGCTCCTTTTAGAAATATAAGGTATGGACTGGACGAATGGCATTTTGGTTTTTCATTAAAATATTTGGATTATTGTTTAGTTCATGATGGGGATATTTAGTGGTTTAATTAAGGGAAGATAATTGTTTTCAGTCTCTATGTCTAATCTTGTCATGGATGAAGCTTTTTTAATGTCGTGTAGTAATGGGTTTTGGAATTTTTGACTTTTTGGGTGTGAATTGGAGTATTGGACGCCTGCCTAGTGGAGAAAGCTTTATTCGCAGATTTCCGTGTAAGGTTGGTGATGATTAATGATGGTATTCTTGACTGTTATGCTGGGGATTTTGTAATTGGAAATAGGGAGAGTAAGATTCAAGCACATTCATTAGCATATGGAGTTAATGTAGTGCTTCTAGAGGATTAGGCACTAAGGCACTAACTCTAAAATGTAGTAATTTATCCTTTCTAAATATCTTATCACTTGTCTGATACTTGTTCTTTCCTTCCACTGGTTTTATGATCACTTAGTGATATGTGGTTACTGTACTATGTTTGAAGGATGAAAAACTTCAACATGTTCTTGGATATCTTCAAAAAGATTTTGAAGGTGGAGTTTCTGCAGAGAATCTGGGTAAGTCAAAACAATAAGAGAATCATGTTCTTATGAGGTCAAGAGTCACCACAAGTTGGAGTTTATAAATTTAAATTGATGATTTTGGAATTTTTGCCATTGCCCAGGGGCAAAATTTGGTGGTTATGGATCATTCTTACCTACTTATACACGTTCTCCTAGTTGGCCTCACCCAAAGAGTCCACCAAGTCAGAGCTGCAATGCATCCATATCTCCAAAAAAAACGGCGTATTGGGCTAGTGGGTCACTGTCACGGAAGGCTGGACCACCACCTATAAATTTTGGAACCCTCCCTGCTTTGAAGGCATCGTTTGCGAAAGATTCAATTGAACAAGAGGTCAGCATAACACCTGCTGGTGCTGATGAGCTTGCCTCCAGGCGTGAATCTGCAAATAAAAAAGCTGCCAATATGCCAGACCAGAAAATATTGAAGGTGCGAATCAAAGTGGGGCCAGACAACTTGTCGACACAAAAGAATGCCGCAGTCTACAGTGGTCTAGGCCTTGGTGTCTCGCCATATTCCTCACTGGATGAGAGCCCTTCAGGAAGCGAAGGGATGTATCGGGAGACTCAAGAGGCATTGTTTGAATCTCTAACCAGTATTCTTCGAGTAAATTTTCTATCTACAATTTTTTTATTCTTCTCATAAAAAGAATGTTGATTTTCTTGTATCTTGCATTTGATGTACACAAAGTGATCTGAATACATTTTTTTTCTGAATATTTTGTGCAGTTTATGACTTCCTTCCCACTAGCCGGTGAGGCTCTACTATCACCTCTCCCTGATCATCTTCTTAACTTGATTGTAAAGGAAAAGGCTCCGAAAGAGAATATATCAGATTCTGGGAAGGGTGATGGAATATTGTTGGGAGACAAGAAATCGAAGTCAGAGGAGAAAAAGGATTTTCCCACAGAAAGGAAGAGTAGCAATAACAGGGATATGAGGAATGGCAATGTTGCAGTGTCAAAGAAGGAAGTAGATGTCAACATATTGGCTTGTGAGGAGCTTGTTTCAAAAACGTTGAAGCTTCCTCTCTTATCTGATTCATATTCTGCTGTTGCCAAGGTAAAGAATAAGAGCATAGAAAGAAACAAAGGTTTCCATGATGTAGCTGAGGAGTCTGTGGAGCCAAAACTTATCCAAGAGATTGGCTGGGAGAATCCAAGGGCTGGGTCAGCTCTAGATATTGAAGTGGTAGATCCCCTCAATCCGAACGTCATCCAGAGAGTGACTTCGCATGAGCAAGACACTATGAAGTTGCCTTCTGCAAAGGAGCATGCCTCGTCTGGTAGAAAAAGAAAACCAAAAGGTAGTCACAGTAATGCCAGTCCAGATGCAGAGGGAGCAAAAGAAAGCTTGAGGGTGGGTTTGTCTTTGGTGCTGAATAGTAAGCAGACTGCTCATGCGAGCAATTCTACGAACAAAAGGGAATCAGGAGGCAAAAAATCTGACAGGTCATTTCAAAAGGCTGGAGATTTGTATAGAGATGTTTTTGGAGATATTGGAGAATCAGAACGTGAAGAGAACCAAACAAGTTCTTTGGAAATTCTTCCTGATGATCGGCCGAAGATAGCTGATAAGATTGGAAAAAATACATCAGCCATTATCAATGGGCATAGTGATATATTAAGTGTTAACAAAACTGAGGGTGTAATGGTAAATGAATCGAGCCCCAGAGCAACTATGGGTGCACATTCTATCTCAGCAAATGTGAATATTGCCAGACCTTCCCTTGCAACTGCTGCTCCTGTATTGATAAAAGAAAATTGGGTTTGTTGTGATAAGTGCCAGAAGTGGCGTCTTCTCCCGATAAACATAAATCCGGCCGAGTTACCTGAGAAGTGGTTGTGCAGCATGCTTAACTGGCTGTAAGTTCTTTATCATTACCACTTCTATTTTTTTTTATGAATGTTATTAATGGTTGCAAAAACTTTGTTAGATGGATGATCTTGAGACCACAGATGTTGATAGTTAACCTTTGTGATGAATTGTGGCAAGATATCTCTTCTTCATTGCTAAAATCTTCAAAACCTTTTGCCGTTTAAATGTTTAGGCCTGCAATGAATCGCTGCAGTGTTGAGGAGGAAGAAAGTACAAAAGCTGTTTTTGCATTGTATCATGTTCCTGCGAAGAACATGCAGTCATCAACCCGATCTGGAAGCCTGACTGATGTGACTCGATCTCCTGTAATTGTTGAGCCGGATCTAAAGCCTCTAATCAAATGTGATTTTCCTGTTGAGAAACACAAAAATAATCAGAAAGAAAAGCATAAATTGTCGGAACACGGTTCTGATGGAGGTATTATTTTAAGCTTGTACTTATACTTGAAAAACTTATTATTTTAAATTATGTAATGTGTTGCTTTTATAAAACATGCGAATAGGTGATACCAAAACGTCAAAGATAAAAGGAAAAAGGATCACTGATCAAGATTCTTTAAGGCCCCCCAAGAAAATTAAGGGTGAAAAACATCTTTCTGGCGAAGATTGGATGTTTGACCATGCTGGCAAGGGTGGGCCTAGCACAAGTAATGATTTGCCTAGCACATCAGTAGGAAAGGATCAGCCTAAACACAGTCAAAATTTTTCTTTTAAGGATTCGAAGTTGGATAAGGACAGGCAACAAGTGTCTGGTAAAAGACTAAATGATAAAGTCCAGGTTTCCTTAACTGATGGATCATTGGATCCGATGAATTGTGATGGTGTGGAAGTTTCAAGAAAGAGGAAAGTTGATGAACGGGTGAGAAATCACCTCCAGGGTAGCAGAGTACTTGTAAAGGAAGAGTTCAGTGAGAATGACAACAGGAAGGAAAAGAAGGCCAGGGTATCCAAATCTGGAGGGAAGGATTCTTCTGCAAGTAAAAGCAGTGGGAAACTAGAGAAAAAAGGTAAACATACACAGAAGCACCTAAGTGGGCAAGATCTAGCTAGCACTCTGTCTCAGCAAAGATTAGATGGTATGGATTCACTGAAAAGGGATTCTGGATCTGCCCAGCCTTCTTTAGCAGCTACCTCAAGCTCATCTAAGGTTTCTTGTTCACATAAATCAAAATCTGGCTTCCATGAAACAAAAGGCTCATCAGTAGAATCAGTTTCCTCATCTCCTATGAGAATTCCTAATCCTGATAGACTTCAATTAACGAGGAATGTTGCAGGGAAAAACGAGTATTATGATAATGGCCTTTTTGTTTCAGATAGTCCAAGATGTACAGATGGTGAAGATAATGGTGGGAGTGATAAGTTAGGGACAGTAAGGAAGGAAAATACTTCAACTGCAGCTCAACATGGGTCCCTTGAGCCCTTCTTACTTGATAGTCAGGATAAATTTGGTGATCAATCAGGTGGCAGTAAAGCTAAGGCGCCAATTAAGCCTTCCCCTGATACTGGAAAAAGGCAGTTAATGAATGATACTGATGATTATTTAGGAGGCCAAGAGGCCCAATTTTCTGGTAAATCAACGACGATAAATGAACACCATGATGAGGAAACTCAAAATGAAAACTGTAGCAATGCCAATGTCTCTCATTCAAGAAAGTCATGCCAAGGGTTCTCGTGGCCAAAAGACAGGAGTCATAATTTTAAATCTGGTTCAGTTGATGTACAGCAACATCACATGCCTTCATATGACATAAGACCTAGGGACGGTAGAAGTCAGTTTCTAGAGAGGCCTGGAGTAAAGTCTGATGAAATTGAGAATAGATTTGTTGAAAATAAAGAATCTTTGGGAAAATTGTCTGGTGAGATTGGTAAAAGAGAGAATGAATCAAATGGTCAATCAGATGCCAAACCAGTTGCCACTGGAGGTCATGATGCAATGTCTACTGTGAAGCAGAATCCTGTGCAGGGCAGAGACGGTGAAGAATATACAAAGAGGTTTCACTCTGAAAATTCTGATCATGCAGAAATTGCTTCTGAGAGAAGGAAGCCACTATCACTACCACCCCCTGGAGGAATTCGAAATGAGAAGCTGACTCGTCATCCTGATATGGTTTCTGGGTCCCAAAAGCAAAATGGAACTGATGGATCTCAAGCTCATGATGCATTCAAGGTACAGAAACAAATAAAGAAAGCTGATCATCAAAGTGGGAGTCAGCAGAATAGTTCAAGACATACTACAGCAGGTGGACATATGAGGGATGTTAGTGCCCCAAGTCCAATGAGAAAGGATTCCTTAAGTCAGGTAGCTAACAATGCTTTGAAGGAGGCTAAAGATTTGAAGCACCTGGCTGATCGTGTGAAGGTTGTCTTGTTTTCTTTCCCTTTGTCCCAGCCTAGCATTTTTTTTAAATTTCTTTTAAACATTCTTATTTTTAATTTCTTTTAAACATTCCTTCAGAGTTCTGGATCAAATGGGGAGAGCACGGCACTTTACTTCCAGGCAGCACTGAAGTTTCTTCATAGTGCTTCTCTACTAGAATCTTGCAACAATGAGAATACCAAAAATGGCGAGATGTTGCAATCAGTGCAAATTTATAGTAGCACTGCAAAACTCTGCGAGTAAGTAAAATATTAGGTGCTCTGGTTTGCGTTCTCTTACTTTTGTAATCCTAAGTTGCTATACATTTGTTGGAGCTTGATCTTGTATTAGTTGAAAAAATTCCCGCAACTTGGAAATCTTTTGTTCTTGCAATTTTTTTGGATGATTTCAGTTTTTCTGGTACTTGATTTTATTTCTGTTTGTTTACCAATCAATATTCAGGTTCTGTGCCCATGAATACGAGAGATTGAAGGACATGGCTGCTGCTTCTTTGGCCTACAAGTGTATGGAGGTGGCTTATATGAGAGTTATCTATTCCTGTCATGCCAATGCAAGTAGAGATCGGCATGAGTTGCAGGCAGCTTTACAAATGGTTCCTCCTGGTAATTCAAAGAACCGTCATTATAGTGGTTGATACCCTTCCTGTTAGTCTGTGTAGCATATAATATTAAATTGTTGTTTACGGGTTCTACCACTTAGTGATTTAGGAGCAGCAGCCTATTATCTTTGGTTTCTTAATTTGTCAAAAGACCCCTGCAGATAAGACAGTTACATGTTAGAAGCATGGATGAAAGTAATTGCACTGCATGGATGGTTAGGTTACTTGCTTAGATACTGTGAATTTGTTCTTTGGCATCTTGACATCTGAGAATCTTCAGAGTTCAGACAGTGTCTTTCTGTTACTCATGTTTATTGGGTTGTCTTTCATTAACTCAGATGTACCTATTTATTCTTCTGTTTTAGGTGGAGGACTTGAGTCTATAAATCATCAGTGTTCTAGTTCGCATTTGACATGCAACATTTGGTTTTGCAAAATGGATATTGTCCTTGTTGGTATGCATGCAAGCACATAGATATTTTCTAGTATGCCTACTCATCAGTCCCTCGGTCTCCCACAGGCCACATCTTTTCAATCACCATTTCTTTTGTTATTTTTCTTTATGGATTAGATTCTTTATGACTAATGTTAATTAATATCCCATTGATTGGGACAAACTGACAAAGTTCATTTTAACTTAGTTTCTTGATGTTGGTGGCGGTTTCATATCAGGTGAATCTACTGCTTCTGATGTTGATAATTTAAACCAACCAACATTATCAGACAAGGCTGCTTTTCCAAAAGGTGTTAATTCTTTCCAGGCTGCCGAAAGTCATATTATTTCTGCTCGAAGCCGTCCTTACTTTGTTCGGTTGCTCAATTTTGTAAGTGTAACTTCCCTTGCATATAATTGTGAGAGTCTAATTCATGTATTTTTATATAGAATGGGAGTCAGGGCAGTCTTCACCCCCCAACCACCACGAAAAAAATAAAATAAATAACAAAAAACAAATATATATCTTCATCCCTAAAATTAATTTTCTTTTGGTTCTAATGCGTAGAAGCTGTTATGGGCTTCTGGTTACTGTATGTTGAAATTGCATGTATCCTAGCAGCTTTATGCATTTAAGCACAGGCTTTTGTGGTTATTTCCGTCAACTGTGTATATTTTTTTTTTGGATTTATTATTATTATTATTATTATCTCTTTCTCACTGTGATATATCATGCCATTCTGTGCTCTATGTTGTGTATATTTAATTTTAGAGACTAATCGCAACTAAAATCAAATGTGATGACTTGCAGGCACAGGATGTAAATTATGCAATGGAAGCTTCAAGGAAATCACGAGCTTCTCTTGCAGCTGCCAGTTCAAGTTTGGGAGGGGCTAAAAGTGGGGAGGCTATATCATCTGTGAAGAAAGCTCTTGATTTTAGCTTCGAAGATTTGGAGGGAGTGCTACGTTTGGTACGAGTGGCAATGGAAGCCATTAGCCATTAAGGAAAAAATCTGGGTGGTAAGGATGGTTGTATACTAGGAGGAAATTTGTTTTGATGGTTTATCCCTTGGCCATGATGGTCTAGATCGGAATAGGAAGAGGGGTTGGTCAGTACTTCCTGATTCGATCCTGAACACTTCCAAGCTTTCAAATGCTTGTTTTGTAACACTCGCTGTACATGTGTGCTATACAAGACAAATCTGGGATTTTCAGTACACATTCTCACTGGCTTCAACTGCTTTCTGACATGGAACGAGCTTTAATTTCCTTAAGATGGTATTGAGGATATGGGATTCATATGGTTTATACACAAGATCGCTCCAAGGTGTATAAAATTATACTAAAAAGAACTTTGGTTGAAGAAATAATTTTGTGTAAACATAGAGATGGAAATTGTAGATTGAGGTGGATTCGTAGAATTTGGGCTCATTGTTCGCCAGCCACAGTTCTAGTTCGCCTGACATCAATTTATACATACTATCTGTTAGAGACCTGTCTAGGACAATACTGGTATATGCAGCAGCATGTGTTTTCTTGGTTCAGGCACTATGAAGCAGAGCACTGTAGTTGGCAATCGCAGGTTTGCTACTCTTACATTCATCCTGCTATAAAAATTAAAGTTCAACATATAAAGTCAATTTTATTTCCTTTTCTGTCTCTGTTTGCTTTAAGTGCCACCGTTGTTTGTGTATGTGCAGGTCAGCTGTTGTAGTGCCTGTCATTGTATATACTTGAGAGAAAATATACCCAAAAAAATACCCGGTGGTACTAGAGATCCAAAAAAGGTTGATGGAGTTCTTTATTTTCTTATCTTCCCTTTAAAGGTTGGTATGCTCTCTGTTTTTGATTGTTTCATATTTTGGCATACCATTGTTTCCAACATTCTTGTTGTCTGTATTATATATGTATGTTCCAGTGGCCATTATTGTTCTTTTTCTGAATATACATCAAGGAGTTTACTTATCATTAGAATTTTGAAAAATATAATATATCTTACTTATCATGTTTGTAGAATGTACTGTTTCGAATCTATTCGTTCACCCGTTGTGCACTCCGATGGGTTCTAATTTAACAATATGATTTGGTTTCAGGTTGAACAATATGTGCAGTTGCATAAGCAGCGAAAAGCTGGTTATGATCAAACCATTGTAGCAAAATTGTGACTTGGTCTTTTACCTTTTGTGTCATTATTGTTGCTATTTCACTGCAAAACTGTCTATATGCAACTCAAGGTGGCATTTATATAACAAAATTTTGAACTTAAATTACTGCCTTTTTCTGTGTATATAGCAATGACATTTATTTCAACTCTGATCAATAAAATTGGGGCTGTTTTTGTTATTATTATTTCGGTTGCAAATAGAATTTGGTAAAATACACCAGAGGTTATTAAATTATGTTTAAATGATTGTTTTGGTCATTGAACATTAGAAATTTTTTACTCTGCTACTATATCTCTTTCACATGCTGAAACATTTTTGAAGTTTGTCAGTAGTCACTATTTATTTTATTATTCACACTTACTATTCAAGGCACCAAACCTAAAGGGAATAAGGTAATTATAAGTCTTAGTATTAAATTGTTTCTGTATTATGTGTTCTTGATTTAATTATTTTTTAATTACTATTTTGTTAAGTTCGTAAAATTTGAACATCCCAAAGCTTAAACACTTCGTGATTATTTATTAAAACTAAAGAAAATAGTACTTTATGTGTATGGTTTTTCTTTTAATCTTACTGTTTTTGTCAAAATAAATAAATAAAGATGATGTCAAAGTCATTACATATACCACGGCGATCCCTGTTCAATGACGATCACAAACATTGGCCAATATATGCCACCTGCAACAAAGCAAGGCACTAGACATAATGTTATTGAGTTTAGGGTTTAGGGTTTACTCGGAATAGACTCGTAGAAGGTATCCGACATGCATCCTTTTTGTTCCTCTTGAAGTAATCTGCAGTGTATATAGGGTTTATGGCTTTCACCACGTTGGATCGAGTTTGATGAAGTTGTAAACCCCAATCCCACCGATCAATGCGAACCAAATGCAAGTGATTAGCTGCAGATGTCCAAACGATCGTGCCTTCTGATAGAGAATATTTTGCTTCCTTGACGCCTCCCACGGCTGATAAAACATCAAATTATAGAACATAAATAACATTTAAAACTAATTTATGAACATAATTATATATATATATATATATTATCACGCTTTTAAGAGGTGAAAAGCATTAATTCTATATCAGCCATATTCAATGAATCAATGATCATTAACAAATCTCATATCCCAAGAAGCATTGTTAAACTATGATATGATTTGATCATATCCCAGGAACCAAAAGCGTTCGCTTGAAGATATTGGGTGGTTCAGTTCAAGGCTCGGTGGTGAAGGCGTTTTAAGTGGCATTTCGGTCAAGTGCTCTCTAGTGTTGTTCGGCTAACGTGGAAGCACAGATTAAGAATTGGTATTGCTGGTTCGGGTCGGATTATTAGTAGTGCAACGGCACTTTGTTTTATGTTTAGTGGCTTGAATATGATATGCTGTAGGGGTGCCCTTGTTGATATTACTGTTCTCTTCAGCGGCATTGGTTTGGAGGTGTAATCAATTCTCGGTATGTTGTGTCTGGGCTGGTTAGTTACTCTGTAGGATAGTTTCATTTGCATAAGTGTCCTCCCAGAGGTTGATAGAAAGAAGAGAGATAAAGCTGTAAGAAGAAGAAGAAGGTCCTCCCAGAGGTTGTTATACCTTTGGTTCTGCTGTAGTAGTTTCCAAGTTCTGTGGTTGCGGCTTCGTTGTCTGTTTATAGTTTTCAACTCTTGTCTAAACTGGGAGTTGTGCTTTTCGATCAGTGGGATGTCATTGTGGGGGTGATGTTTTCTGGTTATACTTGTTTCACGTGCTATGGTTGTATTCTCTTACTTAGTACTCTTTTCCATTTCCTCCGATTAAGTTAGGGAGATTTTTAACGAACTCGTAAGTAAAATTTTATCATTTGATTAATAAATAAAATGATATTTGCCAAGAAAAAAAAATCATATTATTTAGTCGTCTCCAATGGGCAATGGATGATGGCAGCTGTGACTTTGTAGATGGTAATACATATCATTTTAGTGAATTTTAATTAATGTATCTTTTACTATGGATAATTACCACCCAACTAATTGTCATGGTTTAATAAAATTATATATTCAATTTTAATTACAAGTACAATGTTGGACCGTTAGCTACGAATTAGTATGCCTCGTATTGTAACACCCCAAAAACTGATCTAATAATTTTTCGATTTTGATGATTGAGAATTTTTTATTACTTTTTTAGTCGAATCAAATTTTGGAATAAATTTATTTAAATTTGGAATGTAAGAAAAGTTTGGAAACCCTTTTTATGCGCATGTTTTGTTAAAGGACCCAAGTCTGGTGAATGATGTCCGTCTAGTAGTTTCAAAATTCGGAGAGGCCTTAGGCAAGGTTGCCCACTATCCGAAAATCCTTAAGAGTGTTTGAAGTCGTTGCTGGTCTGAAGCTAAACATGAAGAAATCTTCCCTTTTCGGGATCAATGTCGAAGATAGGCACATTCAAGGGTGGGTTGCCCACTTCACTTATGGCTGGGGAAAACTGCCTACTGTATATCTTGGGCTCCCATCAGGAAGAGTGAGCAATTCTCCAGATATTTGGAAGCCGATCATTGAAAAAGTTCGTCTGAAGATAGGAGGGTGGAACGGTAAATACCTCCCTCTCCTTTGGAGGACGGATAACCTTGATAAAGTCGGTTCTCTCCAATCTCCTAATGCAATTCCTATCTTTGTTTAAAATGCCCGCTTCGGTAGAATCGGAGCTAAACAGATTGGTTGCAAAGTTCTTATGGAGGTCGGATTCGAATAAGTCGATCCATTGGGTGAAATGGGACAATGTTTGCAGACCAGGAGAATTGGGGGGTCTCGGTTTCTACGATATACGCCTTCGTAACCAAGCACTCCTAAATAAATAGCTATGGAGGTATAGTGTCGAATCTGATTCTTTGCAGAAGAAAGTAGTCAATGCTAAGTATGGGTATGACAATAGATGTTTACCGCTTCGCCCATTCGAGCCAAAAAAACCTTCCTGGGTTTGAAAGAACATTGCTTTACCTTTAACCAAGTCAGATGATCCGTCCTCAAAAAATATCAAGTGTGTCGTAGGCAATGAGAGTTTTCACCTCATAATTTTTGCTGGGTTGTCTCGAAGTCTTTAACCGAGAAGGACCCTATTTGGAAATTGGTGTGGGCGAACCTCGCACCCCCGAAGGTTGAAGTGTTTGTCTAGAAATTTGTTCATCACAGAATCCCAACCTTAGTGGAACTTGCCAAGCGCAACGTTGTGAACATCGGGGAGGTTGTATGTATTTTTTGCAAAGCGGACCCGGAATCGGTTGTCCATTTATTCTGTCACTGTATGGCCATTTGGAGTGCATGGCAAAGGTGGTGTAGCTATTGGAATATAAATATGACTGTCCCCGGGAATTATAGATCGTTTATATTTTGCTGGGATCATCAACCTATTCGATCAAGGTATAAGCCAATATGGAGGATGGATCTTTCGGGCTAATATGGACAGCATGGCTATGCAGAAATGAGGCGATGTTCAACAGCAAGGTTCTAAATAGTGCCTAAATCCTTGAGGTAGCCCTTCTCCGAATTGGTATTTGGTGCAACAGCAAATGTCCTTGCCTGGTTCCAAGTGTACAGGATTTTATCAGATGTCCAAATGCTTTGCTGGTTGATTCGTGGTTGAGAGGTAAGTGATCTGTCATCAAATCTTGGTGGGCTTTACCTCTGTAATGGTTTGTGTTCATATCGTGATTGGTGTTAGCCCTCCAAGAAGAGTTGCAGTGATGTCTCCTCAAGGAGATCGGATCATGCTCTATACAATGGGTGGATACTTGCCTTGCTTTCTTTAACTTCTGTGCAGGTGTTGCGTTCACATGGAGCTCCTGATTGTCGTGGGTAGTTTGATTTCTAATGCTGGATTAAACAGGATGTAGGGTAGTGGTGGTTTTATCTTGATAGCTACTGGCATTGATTAGTTTTTTGGGCTGTTGTAGTTGAATTGATTGGACCATATAGTTTCGGAAGGTAGCCTTCAGCTTGTCGTTCTGGGGCGATCTTGCAGTCTGACTAGAATCAATATTTATGCTAGTTTCAGTCTCAAGCTTGTGTTGGCAGCGCATTCTTCCTCTTAGATTATGTAGATATCTCGTGAAGGATTGTTTATTATGTTGGGCGGTCTACTTGTGACGTGAGTTATATATATATATATATCTCGAGATTATTTTGTCGACATCGATTAAGTGCGCTCTTTTTCCTCCACTCTAGGAAATTTTTTTAACAAAGCCTTATCGATTGTCTTGTTTTGTATGCATTAACTTAATAAAATCATACAAAACTCCAATTAAAAAAAAATATGAGATCGGATGTTAAGAACTTTAAGGATTAATTAGAATAAGTCATAATTTGTGGATAAAGTCGAAACATTCAAAAGTTTAAGAATCGACTTAAAATAAAAAAATATAAATTAAAGATATGTGCTGTAATTAATTTAATTTTAAAATATAGATTTTTCTTAATCTTTACGTCGTTTCTCCTGAGTGTCCATGATGACAATAATTGACAAATCTTTAAAAAAACATCGTCTAAATCTATTTGTGCGAGGATCCCTTGTATCTTTATCTAGTATTATGAAAATCTAATATTATAATTTTACTAAAGAATATCTTACTTCGATATAATTAATTATTATTGTGATCGAAGAAAATAACTCAAATATTTTGACACAATTATGTTTCATTGATTAATATTTTCTTTAATTAAGCTAAGGTAATTACAAAGTAGTTTATGTTCTAAATACTCTTAACTATTTGACAATGAACGTTCGATCACCATATTGCGGTCGCTGGTGCGTTCAATGTCGAAAGACTAAGATTTTTCTTTGAACTAATACTACATTGTACTCTTCCTAGATTAATTAAAAAAAAAGCTCTCCTCTAGTATATAAGATAATAATTCAGATTAAATATAGCAACTTAAAGCTTGTTGGCAAAACCAAACCAGCAGAATACAAAGTCACCACCAACACATTACAAGAGCAACAAGAGCTTTACGTACGCTTACATGTCCGTTCTTATTCTGATACTTCTAAATGTGTTAATCACTTATTTAATGCGATAAAAACAAGCTTCCCAAGGCCTTGAAAGCTATATAGATTTAGCTAACTCGAGTGACAGGGGAGTACTATAATATAAAGTCTGGATGCGATAAATGTCGTCTTGGGCAAGGCTCCTTTTGTTAGTTCCATAAGTAAGAGTAGGAAACATGACTGCAGTTGGATCGGTAGTGTGCTCAAGGCCGAGAGTGTGCCCTATTTCATGCAAGGCTCCGGACATCAAATCCAGCTCGTACGCTGCAGACATGAATGAACGTAAAATTTCATGTTAAAAAATATAAAAAAATATATTTAAATTATATGAGAATTTAAATTTTTTTTGAAGACGATTACAATTGGGGTAAGATTTAACACTCCAATACGTGTGGTCAATATCAAGGAGAAGCGTCCCATTAGGTGGATAATAGCCAAAACCATAATTCGGTGTGTTCAGTGTAGTGAACGAGATTTTGATATCGGCATTCTCGCCCGGGTATATCCTTTGGAACCCGAACTTCGGGACGTAGCGTTGCCATTCTCGGAATGCCGCATCGATGGCGGCGGCCACCGCGTTGACATCTAGATTCGGCGGAGTAGAGGAAGTGGACGTGTAACCGTAGGTCAACGGGGAGTGCATCCATTTCCCACTGGAAAGGGCGTGCTTGGCTTCGAAATTGAACGGGCTATCGAGAGTCGCCCGGCCGATGTCGTCCAGGCTACCGCTGCTTCTTCTTGGGCCTTGCTCGTCATTTCGATGAGATTCGAGTGATACAGGCCTCGAATTCACTAGGAAAGGTTGCAACAGGAGAAACGTGAGAAATGCTCCGAAAAGTTGATAGAATAATTTAGCTGCCATTGCAAGTTTATGTGTTTAGGTTGTTCGTTCTTGGTGTTTGCTTCGATCCTTATTTATACCTAAAAAATGTTAATTAGTTACTTGGTTCATCTTTGTTTTCATTCCCTCGCAGTAAATTTAATATGTGAATTTTAAAATTTATTCGAATTTAAAGTGTTTTTTTATTAAGGTATATCCGTTCTAAATACTCTCAATTATTTTTTTTTGCTCGGTAAATATGATTTTATTAATAAAGATCATCGGCAACCATTTGATAATGAACGTTCAATCATCTTGTTGTAATCACTTGTGCTCGAACTTGTGACTTTTAAAAATAATAACGATTCCTTTAATCACTGAGATAAATTGATTCGTGTACTTTACGAAAGTTAGGTAGGGCAAAATGGTATATATATGCATGCCAAGTAACCCTAGATATAAAAACAACCGGGATAGAGTTATATCTCTAAAATATTTTAGTTAATAATAGCCGTTAAATTTATAAAAAGAAAATAAAATATTTTTTTTAAAACATGAACTGCGGAACTTTATTGAAGAAATAAAATCAATTGGTTCTAGCCGTCAACACTAAGAAATGAAAATAACAAAACTGAAATTAATGTATACATAATGAAAATAGGATTAATTAAAGAGAGTGTTAAAATATTCAACCACGATATTTAGAATAAAAAAAATCAATATCGATAATGAATGATAAACATCATCGACATTACCATAATAATAGAACATGACAACACATTAACAATGGACTCGAACATTATATGTTCATTCACCTAATTCGTAATGTGCCTGTTTTGGTTGTCCAACTATGAAGTTTTTTAATCTTATCACTGACCCTTTAATTATATTTATTTAGGTTACTAGAGCGTTATGTATTTAGCACTAGCCCAAAATTTTACATTTAGGTCACTCGAGCGAAAATAACCTAAAATTTTAATATTATTTTTTTCTTTATCATCGTTCGACCATCAATCATCGACAGTAGTCCATTGCAAATGTTTCCCTTCCTTCTCTCTTTTTTCTTCTTAGTTTAATTATTTTAGACGTAAACAAAAACTCGAGTCAAGACTTGATCTCATCTTGATTTGATATACAATCTTCATTATTTAATTAATAAAGAATCAAAATATATTGTATGTTTTGTCCATTTCGAGGGTACCTATCAATTTCATTACATATGTTGGATAGGTTCACGAATTTATTATAACGTTTAGTAATTTTTTCCATTGTGGGTCTTCTTTCACCCATGTGCTTCTCGTTCTTGTAATTTGCTGGCTCAATGATCACGTGAATTGGCCTTATCTTTGCAATTGGAACCCTATTGGATAGAGGAGATTGCCAATAGATACTATTTGATAATATAAAATAAAAATATATTTATTAAAACGTTATATAAATATATAAAATAATTAAAATAAGTGATCATAAAAATTATATGTACATAATAAAAATATTTTTTTTCTTTATAACGTTATAGTTTTATTATAGATCGAAATTACATTCAAAAAGTTTAGATTGCCTATTTGAAGGAAAAGAGTACGACACAATCAGATTAGTTTTTAATTTCAACGATAGGTTATACATACAATCTCTTCCTGAAAAGAGTTTTGATCAAGAACGAGTAAACAACATTATATCGAAACACCCCTCATCTATATAGATACAACACTTCCTACCAAGCTTTAAATATTCTATGACGTCGACAAACACCACTAATGATGAACACCATTAATTTGATTTATAAAATTTAAAATTCTAAAGTTCTCGGCGTATAATTATAAATTAATTAAAGTTTAAAGGTAAATTATTTAAAATAAATGGTAAATTATAAATTAGTTAAAGTTTTAGAGGTAAATAATTTTAAAATATTAATTTAAGTTTGAAAATGTGTAAATCAAATTAAATGAATAAATGAAATATCAAAATGATATAAATGAAGTAATAATCTAGTAAAAATTTTTGTTATCGAAAAATATTAATTATATGTATAATAATTTTGGTTGATTGAGATTTTTTTTCAATGATGCTATTATTGTGGTATTCATTTTTAATTTATGATGCGGTACTAACCTAACTTCGACATATGTCATTTGATTCTAGGGTTAAGTTTATTTTAATTTATCAAAATTAGAACTAATTTGATAGAATATATAAGTAATAATAACAAAATGTATAATTATACAAAATATTTTAACTGTCACATCAACTTCTCCGTTAAATATTAATGACAATTGACTTAATTGAATGTATTTAAATAATTAAATGACCTGACTGAATAAATTTTAAAAAGAGAAAATAACCTCAGTGACCGAAAATGCCTTATAATATACAATTTTGACCAACTTTTTTTCGATTTGTCAAAATGACCAACAAAATCGCAATGCGATCTCTAATTCGTAACGCGATCTCCAGTATCGCAAATCAGTTTCCAGATTCGCAACGCGATTTTGACTATCACATTGCGATTTTCCAAATTCGCGTTGCGATTTTCCAAATTCGCAATATGAATATGTAAATCGCAACGCGAATATGTAAATCGCAACGCGATTCTGACTATCGCAACGCGATCTCCAGTATCGCAACACAGTTCCAAGTTCGCAACGCGAATCTAACTATCGCAACGCGATAATACAAAATCGCAATGCGATTTTCAAAGCGCCATTAGTATCGCAACGCGTATTTTATTTTCAAATTCCAAACACGAATATTAATATATCGCAACACAAATGTAAACAGTATATCTTGTAATCGCAACTCATAACCTAAAACCCTAAATCACAACTCAGTCCCATCTCCATCTCTCACTCTCTACGGCGACATTCGTCCCCATCTCCGACGAAATCCGTCCCCATCTCCGGCGAAATCCGTCTATCTCCATCTCTCAGAGCCACCCTCACAATCATTCACGGTCAAAAATGGAAAATCAACCAAATCAACCACTGAGGGTTAGTTTTTTTAATTATTTTTATTTTGAAATTTTTGCATTATTATTAGGTTTTTCATATTGAAATTGATGATAAGTTTACTGGTAATTTCAATAATAGATTAACCATTTCACTTAGATTGCTTATTAAATTCATTTGATTGCTGTCAATACTGCTAAATTGTTTAGTCTTTAACCATGTGAAGTTAGTATTTGTCTTTGTTTTGTCTTTTGGTTGAAGTAATGCAATTCATTCAAGTTTCAATTTTAGACAATGACTATTTGAAACCGAGAATCACAACGCGAAATGAAAATCGCAACGACAAAATCGCAACACAATTTTAGTTTCGCGTTGCGATTTTCATTTCGCGTTGCGATAGTCAAATTCGCGTTGTGATAGCCATTTTTGTGTTGCGATAGTCATTTTTGTGTTGTGATTTTCATTTTCGTGTTGCGATTTTAAGTTTCAGAAACTATTCTTCTTCTGCAAATTGAAACTTGAATGAATTGCATTACTTCAACCAAAAAACAAAGACAAATATGAAATCCACAGTGTTGCAAATTTAAGTTTGAAGAATAAACTACTACTCTTTATGTTTATTATTGTTTTTGGTATATCTTCACAGTGTAGTTTTTGGTATATCTAACTTAGTATGTTTATTGTTTTTGTAGACCTTTTTTTCGGCTCAATTGACCTTAAGGAATAAAATAAGCCTAGTCACTACAATTGCGTCGAAGCTTTCACCTGTACAAAGAAAATTGTTTGAGGATACTTGCTTCGGGCCATGGCTGAAAGTATAACATCCGGGTGGAGATGCTATGTTGACCCATTTGTGGCTTCAGACCATGACTAGCGATCTACCCGAGAGTATAAAACGTGGTAATGAAGAGATATGGTTTCATTTTCCACCGGCGTATACGTGTTTTGGGCGGGAGGAGTTTTGCTTAATCACTGGTCTACACTTCGGACACGATGATGTAGGTCGATACACTAGTCATATTACCCGCCCATCATGGTTATCCTGGGTTTTTCCTGAGCTGTCAATGGAGAAGTCGAATTTACACGTCGACGACTTGAAGAGATTATTTAATAAGAAATATGGTTTTACTCGGATGGATGACGTTGATGTTGTCCGAGTATGCCTTTTAGTACTTTTGCATGTCGGCTTTTTAGGCTGAGAGGCCAGACAACCTATTCCTAAGGACCTAATATTATTGGTAGAGGACCTAAATGCATGGAACCTGTTTCTGTGGGGTTCGTATCTATGGAAAGCTACCTGGAATAAGTTGTCGTCTGCCTTTGATGACCGAAAAAGTTTGCGTGGCGATGGTTCCAAATACACTTTGTCATGCTTTATTTGGGCCTTTAAGGTAATAATTTCTATATAATGTTTCCAAAATTATAATTAATTATTTAACAATTACTAATGTTTGTGTATTATATTGTTTGTAGATTTGGATATTTGAGGCTTTTCCCGACATGCAGACATATGCATTAAAAACTTCAAATGATATTCCTAGGGTTATTTCCTGGAAGAAGAAACGGCGACTGTTGGATTGGGAAGAGTTACTATGGTATACGACCATAAATTATGTAAGTTAACACAGATACTACCATATATAAACAAGTTATTACTAGTACACGTTTAACTTTGTTTGAGCTTTTATATTGTTAGGAGGCCAACACTCCATTACAGAGGCTGACACCCACGGAGGCTGAGCTTGCCACTGATTGGTGGCAATCTAGTAAGCTTTTTTTATGGCACGGATGATGAGCAGCCTCCACTTCGAGAGCCATCACCTCACCCAGAGCCATCACCTTATCGACCACACTATACACCTCTACAACGAGAGCCATCACCTATTCCGTCACATCATCGAGCCTCTTCTCCACCATCACCTCATGATAGGCGACCGACAAAGATGCCACGACATTTATCTCCATGTTATCCACCTCCACCTCCACAGGATGAGGTCAATGCCTTGCGTGAGGAGGTCGGTACTTTACGCGATGACAATGGTGCATGGCGTGATGAGGTATCTACTTTACGTGGTGAGGTAGTCGCTCTACGTGAGATGGTAGCATCGTTG